ATCTCCCTCATAAGACTATTATCAGGATTAAATGAGACTAAGTATTTAGTCCAGAACACAATTACGTTAGTTCCTGGACTTAAAAAAAGGTCAATATATAGTAGTTATATTATTAGTAGTAGTGTTACTACTAGTGCTAGTATTACCACCACTATGAGACTATCCCATGTGGCTCTTTATGTAAATGATAAGTATTCTCACCCATTCATTCACTCAACAAACATTTATCATAAACATATGTCAGACTAAAAGCTAGAGACATGAAATAAAAGATATACACATACATATGGATGTATGTATGTAAAGATATATATCTGTATACACACACACACATACATATAACCATGCATGTATGTATATATTTATATACATATATTATATCAATTATGAATACATTTTAAATACATATACATTTCCCATGCCTGACCCAAAAGGACTGACATATCTGGCATGTCCTTTATTTTCACCACACAGCAAAATGAGCTTTCTGTGTAGGGCATTACTGACACAAAGACAGTGGTAGAACCATGGCTATATGTTGTATTTGTATAATCCAGTCCTGTGACCCAATAGTAAGGGTTCAAATAAGCTCAAATCAATAATAATAAATAATAAATCAGCTAATGACAGGTATTTTGACTTTATTGTTAGAGCCAAACCAGAGAAGACAATAAAGAGAGGGGACTCAATTTGGTTTGGTTTTGCTGCAGCTGGATTACCATCATCCAGGAGCCATTTAGCAAACAGACAATAGACACATGGCTTTATTTATAGCAGTCTGTAGGGAAGGAATGCAGTTGATTTCGCCATCTCTTCCGCAGTGGTTTAGCTACAGAATTATCTCTATCACGTAGAGGATGCATTAGGCAAACATGGACGCATTCTGGAATGTAGACGCATTGATCTTTAAATGGGTGGTGCTAGTTAATTAGGCAATGAAGTTTCACCGAAGTAGTGACAGTTTTACAAGTAGGGGAAACTTGGTGCAAGAAATTAAAACAAAACAAAACAAAACAAAACAAAAAAAACAGAAAACATAAAACAAAAAAACGGCTTAAAATACACATCACAATCAACTCTCGGTTTTTATTTCAAAACATAGTTCTATGTTGCCTTGCCAATGCAGACTTGGAGTTAAACGTATCCTAATGATTTATACCACTGATACGTGCCTCTATGTCTGGGTACTGCCCAGCCTGTTTGAATTGCACTGCTGATGGTATCACACTTATACCCTTCATTCTGAAATAAACATTCCCCAAAGCTCTCAAACAGATAGTGCTCAGAGCTTTCCCCTGGGTCCTCTTTCAAATTAAATCAATTAGGGGAAGGCCATATGTTCGCCATATGTATGTCGACTTGCCAGAAATTCTTACAAGAAAAGGAAAAAGACACATAAAAAAAAATCACAAATCATTTGAAAACACACCAACTGAAGAAGAATTAATCAACCAACCAGTTAAATCTCTATTTATATAAGTCAAAAGTTGATTAAAATTAGACAAGATAATGTACCTCTTGATGATCGTTATATATTGTGCTTCCATTTTTTCCCCTGTTCTCATATGCAATTAATTTCTTAGGCAGTATAGGGAATCAATCACTCCTTATCAAGTTTTCTTCACCTGTTTACCCACCTGGAAATAGTAAAATGATTGCCTGTCTGTGGTACTGAATTTCTGTGGTAGTGAATCTTAACAAAATTCTTCAGAGCTCAATACTCTTCAGAGCTTAACAACAAACAACATTTGGTGAATATTGTTGGCTCTCCTTCCTTAACTGAGTTGAGAATCCAGTTAGATTCTCAATACTGGATCCTGATCACAGCATTATGGAATGTTAGAGTTGGCTTGTCTTCTTAATTGCACAGGTGTACTATTCAATTTTGGATCCCTTGGAGTGCCTCGCATGGTGCGTGGCACGTAGCAGAAGTCCCATACATATTTTAAATATTGAAACATTAAGGAAAATGAGGGTTAGAGAAGTTGACGTGAGTTCAGTTGTCCAGTTAGAGGACAGGTCTTCTGACTCCTGAACATTTTGCTTTTACACTGTGAACATTATCAGATACTCCCTCATCGGAACTCATCCCCTCCTCTACTGTCACCTGTGGTAAGGCTGATGTTCCCATCTTGGCATTCATTCATATCTGTTCAATCTCATGTGCTTTTCCTCCTTTCCATTTCTTAGATGTACTTGTATTCTAGCATTTGTGGTCTCTGAATACATTCTCTTGTTGAAGTGTTTTTTTTTTTTTTTTCCCCTGCCTTTGCTTAAGGTGTCCTTTACCCTAATAATCTTTTCCACTCATTTATATTTTTTAAATTCTTGTGTGCCACATAGTGATATTAGGAGTGAATTCAGTAGAGGGTAGAGGACTGAGAACTAATTTTTTAAAAATAATTATTAATTTAATTTAATTTATTTATTTACTTGTCTTTTAATTTGACCAGAGACAGACAAAGTAAGAGGGAAAGCAAGAAAGCAAACTGTCTGGTCCAGGAGTCAAACTGCGGTTAGCCATGTGGGAGTTTAGTCCCTTAACCACCATGCCACCTGCCAGTCCCCTATATGATTTTTTAAAAAATTGAGTATAAACAGCAAAAATCCTAGGTGATTTTCCCCAGAATCTCAGAAGTCCTTGAAGATGTGCAGTGAGATAAATTTATAGATCTCTTTATAAGGAGTTGATGTACTCAAAAATGTGGGATAAAAGGCCTACAGATCTGGAGACATGCAGCCCCAGAAAATTTCTGAAATATATGGAAATTACTTTCAAGATATTTTGATTTTTCCTTTCTCCTTTTGGCCTGTTTTCTTTTTTTTTTTTTTTTTTTGTCCATCTTCCAAATGCAGTTAAAATTGTTCAGAGTTCTAGTGTTATGCTTAAATCAGCTGTCTTTATAAAAATCAACACAGTAAAAAATCCTTCTTATTTCTTGGTTCTCTTTGATAATTATACAAACAACTAATTCTTATGTTGTGATTACCATGTGTCAGAAACTGTTTTAGAAGGAATATATATTTTATATAATGTATATATATTATATATATTATATATACATATTAATTTCATAATACACATTATGACTATTTTATATGTATACATTATATACTCCCACGTGCCAACCGTGGCTCGAGTCCTGGACCTGGCACCTTGCTTTCTCACTTTCCCTCTCTAAATAAATTAACTTTCTTACTGATGTTGGGGGAAAAACATATTTATTTAGAGAATTACATCTGGTATTTGTATTTTAGAAAAGATCCTTGAGTTAGGGAAGAGAAAAATAGTTACCATGAAAATATAGAAGTACTGGGATCAGCAGGCTGTGTGGTGGTTAAGTTGCTGGACGCTCCCACGTGGCCAACCATGGTTCGAGTCCTGGACCTGGTGGCTTGCTGTCTCACTTTCTCTCTCTTTGTGTGTCTCTCTCTGGTCAAATTAAAATAAATGAATGAATAAATAAATAAAACTAAGTAAATAATTCTTTATGAAAAAATATAGAAGTGCTTATAGTTAACATGAAGGAGGACCATGACAGTAGTCCCAGGCAAGGAGAGTATGATCGTTCAAATAAACAATGAGAACAAGATATATGAAAATAAATTTACAGTAAGAAATGTTAAGCCATCTTGGGAAGACAAGTCACCTATTTTAGAAAGAGTCACTTATTTCATTTATATTGAAGAGAAAATAGATCCAAAGTAAAAAGTAATGAATGGAATGGGACTATTCCATCCCATATTATCTCTTACTATGTTAGGAAGTAAACAGACAAAATGAAATTAACCCTCGAGACTCAATGCCCTGGTGGGTTTCTTAGAATTTTGAAAAAAGATAGACCATATGGTAAGAAGTGCCTCTGTGACAACATAGGCTCAGATACAATTTCAAGGATTATAAATCCTCTTGTTTCATCTCATAATTTGATGACCAGCTGGCACTGGGAAGTATAACATTGCATGTTTAAGTGCCTATGGGTTTTTAATATCTTCCTTAGTAGCATCCGGATTAGACCCCCGGAAAACAGAACATGGCACCACTCCAGGATGATCATTAATCTGCCTCAGTAGGGCAGTCTTCCCACATGGGGGCCCATCCATAATGCTCTGATGTAGTGATCTGTCACACCATATGGGGGAAGACGAAACAAGAGATTGAGCAACACAGGGACACAGAGAACTTGGAATCCTGGCAAAAAAGGAAAAGAAGGAAGGAAGCATCACATATCATCTGTCCACGTAGCCGAGCAGGGGTCAAGTAATTAATTACATGCCCATTGCCAGGTCTTACAGTGTGTTGTCCAGCCGTGGAGGGGAAAGAGAGAATCAGCAGGGAGAGTAAATCAGAGTTTCTGGAGAGTTACCAAATTAAATATCCTTTCTGTGGTGTCTTTCAGGGACAGTTGTATGTGAGAGAACAAGGTTTCTGGAGGGTCCTGGCATGCTATGTACACATGTCTGCTCCTGTGGCAAGGTACAGCCAAGAGGGCCTAGGAGAGATAGGGCATAAAACCGTGAGTATGACCTACAGTCCTTTTTTCTAATAGTTCATGAATGCTATGCTCTTTTCCAGTCCAGTTTTCGGCCATGCTTTGCCCCACCTTTTGTGGAAGACAAACAAGCTACTATAGTTGGTCATATTTGTGTGCTCTTTATGGCTTGGACCTACCTGGGAGAGGAAGTGATAAGTGGTTGAATAGGTAGTTCCACCATTGGTTGGTGGGTAGGATGGATGAATGAATAAATGCATGCAGAGCAACACTTTTCATAACCAGACAGCTAGTTAGTTCAAAGACTGGTGATAATTAGCGTGTTTATCTTCTGGAAACAGTGTCATAGAAGGTGGAATTCAGTGGTAGCAGAAGAGGTGTGTATGGGGGGGAGACGTATAAAAAAGAAAAAAAGACTCTGTTGGGGAAATTGTTGTGACTTATTTAAATCTGAACTTTTCTCATGTATTCTGTTTTTCCATGGTATTTCAGTTAGTTAGATGGTTTTCCATTAACTTTGAACGTTTTAAATAAGCAACCGAAAGCACATTTGAATGCAAGTTTCAGGATGCATAGATCAACAGATGTTAAGAAACTCAAACTGGGAAATTGTTGCAACCACGTGGAATAGCCGGTATGATAACCTTCTCAAGGTAAGACTGGACTAAGGTCAGCTCAGCTGCAGAAAGAATAAAAGAGTTCGGTGACTGAAGAGAAGAATGGGAGAACAACTTTTTTTTTTTAACCTTCCAGGGGAAGGAGCTCACTCAGCAGGCCAGGATCCCGGGGCTCTGGGAGGGCAATTGCATTATGCAGGCATGGACAACAAACAGGAAGTGAGTGCAAACAGACCCTCTCCTCAACATAAACACACACAGACTTAACCCATGGCTGAACTTCTGCCCTTGGGTGACCAGCACCATTAGGACACAGGTCAAAAGGTTGCAGTGTGACAGAAAATGGAGCCTCATTGAATGAAAGAGAAAATGAAAAATTCTTTTGTTTGCCTCACTCAGTGGTTTGTATAGCTACTGTGATGTCATAATGGAGTCCAGAGTGGGAAAGAGAAGTCCCTGATTTATCATGATTGGGAAAGGCAATTGGAAATTCAGATAAGCATTGAAGGAAAAACATGGAAGACCAGCACAACATAAAAAGAGTCTACTCTTAAGGGACAGGATAGAAGTGATCGGTCATTGAGTATAGCAAAAACATCAGAAAATTTATGTTCCCATTATGTATAGGATGGAAGAAATACAGATGCAGATACACAGCTGGCTGGGTGACTCTCCTCCCCTAACTCATCACCTCTCCAAATCAACCGTATTACAGTAGGATAGGAAAAAGTGTTGCATTCTGAAAGCTGTCTAATCTGTGAGATCATTCAATAACATTAAATATGTGTGTGTTTTGTGTGTGTGTCTATATATATGTATATATATAAGAACAATAAATATATATACACACATATATATTAATATATGCACACATACATAAACACACACATATGTGTGTATATATGTTTTGTGTGTATGTATATATACACACACACACGCAAATCATATATAGAGAGAGGTGTATATATATATATATATATATATAACTCACCTGGCACATTGTTTTACCTCATGGGCAAGTGTAAGAACTGGAGTTTTCCAGCTGTGTTTGGTTATTTTCACTCGTTTGAGCTCTGAGCATATTTGCAAATTCTGGTTAATTCTATTACTTCCAAAATGTTTCTTTTGAGGGTAAAAAATAGTAATTATTTAAATAAGGATACTCTAAAGACTAGCTAGGGGCCAGCAGGTGATGTGGAGGTTAAGGCAATTGGATCCCACATGACTTACTTTGCCATTTGAGTCTTGGACCGGGTGGCCAGAAACGCATACCATGCACGTGTACATGCATGCCTAAAATCCTGAGAGGAGAATGGAGAAAGGATTGTAGTGTGGCCATCCCCCTTGGGGTGGACTCCTCACTTTCCTCCTGTCTCTCTCTGTCTCTGTCTCTCTCTGATGAGTGCATGCAGCCTATAGTGAAAACTAAAAACAGACAAAAAAAAAAAAAAAAAAAAGGCTAGCCAATGTTTTAATTCAGTCTATCATTCTACCGGTATAGATAACATCTTTAAAAAGATTAGATTACATTGTTTTTCTGTGTTTGTTAGATTCCCAAATGTCTGGTTTTATTCTGGAACCTCTATATTTTTGTGTGTTTGTTTTTTCAACTTATAATTTTGATTTACATGTAGCAGTTGTACAAATTTATGGAATACAATGTGGTTTTTCAAAATATGTGTACATTTTGTAACAGTAAATTTGGAGCAATAAACACATCCACCATCTCCAATATTTATCAATACTTAGTGTATATTGTAGATCCATTTTTCTATTTGATACATACATTAAATTGTCTCAGTTGTGTGCCTTTTGAGAAACTGGATTTTAGTTATACATATTTTCCTTTAGTATCTGAGCCACTAGTGAGCTACTACTTTTCAAAATGAATTTTATATTCAAAAGAATCAACCAAGTTTGGGGGAACTCATGCTATGATTACATTTTTAATGCAGTTTTTAACAACCTGCCCTCAGAACATTCTTAATTTTTTTTGTCTCTTAGGGTATCCCCCTTGTAAAATCACCACAAGCCTTCAGAAATAAGGCTTTAGTTCCTTACAAAGCTGTGCAGACGTGAAACCCTCCTGGGAGATTGATGAGTCCTATTAACCTTGTTGCATAGATGGAAACTCAGAAACAAAGTGACTCCGAGGATTAAGAGGAAGTCAATGTCAGCACCAGGATTAGAATTCACACTTGCCTGGTTTCTCAGCCCACGACCAGCTCCCCCATGGATCCCAGCTTTGTCTTCCTCCCCAAGTGAGGGGGCAGGGTGATTCCAAGCGTTGAAAGAATCCTGTTATCCTCAGGCTTTCGCCTTGCAGGAAGGTTCTCCCTTTTAATAAATTATGGGGCTGGGAAGTAACTTTGAGGTGATTTATTCTAATCTCCTTAGTTTATAATTGAGGAAAAAGGCATTAAAATGCTCAAAACAGAGTAAGAATGCCCTGAGCTCAGCAATATAATAGGGAGGCAAATTGATGTGGTGAAAAGTACTGGGTAGGAGAGGATTTGGAGTCCTGGGTTTGAAGCCTGGCTTTGCTTCTCATTGAGCCTCAGTTTCTTGTCTGAAAAATATAGAAAACAATTTCACCGTTAGTGTTTTACAAAGATTGAATATGCAAATACATGCTATGTTGTAGACACCTCTTAAATGTTACATTTTCATCTTCTTTTGCATTGTAGTAACATAATTTCTTTATATGAAAGGACAATACTGAAATGTGCCCACGTAAGGGTTTAATCCCAAATCAATGGGATTTTATAGGATTTTGATCTCTGAATTTTGTTGAATCCAGTGTCAAGAATGAAGACTTTGGGGACTAGCAGGTGGTGTGGTGGGTAAGGTGCTGGACACTCCCATGTGATCAACCAGGGTTCAAGTCCTGAATCTGGTGGCTTACTTTCTCACTTCCTCTCTTTCTCACTGTTACCCTCTGTCTCTCTCTGGTCAAACTAACTAACTAACTAACTAACTAACTAAATAAATAAATAAAAATTATTTATGAAAAAAAAAAAAATGAAGGCTTCAATGCAGCCCTAAGCAGTTTGTGCAGTGAGCTCAGAGATGCCAGGACTCTCAGTAGGGTTTTTCTCCCAGTTAGGATTTGAAGAGTCCCCACACAGGGAGAATAGGGAGCTGAGTAGGGAGATAGTCTTGAGTAAAGACCATGTTGAATGTTGACATTTTGGGAGGTGCTGCTATATGGATGAGGGCTGATGCAGATTCCTGAGTGTTTTGTCTTCAGACTGATAGCCAAATGCTTCTTATCTCTTACTGCCCCACACTCTTCCAAGGGAACATCTGCTTTTTGTAGTAAGACTAGAATGCTCTTTGTCCTCTAAGAAATCACTAAGCATACTTTACCTTACATCCTTCAGAACAGGATTAGCAATTAATCTATGAATCTAAAAAGGAGGGTAAAAATCCCCTCTTATGCTTGAATTCTGAGCTGGGAGTTTTAGGCCCAAATCCTTGAGAGGCTGGCTGAAGCAGGCAGGGGGGCACAGAAAGAGACCTCTGCCAGCTAAGAAGAGTTGCCAGGCCTTCTACCTTTTGGAGGGGCTCCAACCTAATACAGTGAAATGGTTCAAAACAAGAATATGCTCCAGAAGGGAGTTTAGAAAGGATTGGGAAAATCTTTTTAAAGAAAATAATCTCACCACATAATGGGATTGTTCTAATAACAATGATTGAACATCTACTAAGTACTGAGCCATTTTGCTGTGGCTTCACATACAATGTCTCATTTAATCTGCACAACTCTGTGGGAGAAGTTTTGTTATCGTTGCTATTTTGTAGAACTGTGTTGCAGGAACACTAAATACGGTGCTCAAGTCTCAGATTTTATAACTGCATAGTGAGATTTAAACCTAGCAGGATTTGTCTTGAGTCTGAGCTCTTGACTGCCATATCTTACCACCTGTTCTGTGAATCTCAATTTAAGAAACCTCAAGCATTTTCCTTTATTCCCCTCATCTCATTTTCCAGCACCTAGGAACTCTCTTCCACTGACCCAAGAGAGATCTGCTTCTCTGCCTTCTCCTTGCTCTGCCCTCAAAGACAGCAGCATACAGTCTACACAGTCATCACAATGTGCATTTGACTGCCGGGTGAAAGCTTATTCACCTGGTTGGTGATTCGGTGTGAACTGGGCTAGAGAATGGAAGATGAATCATTTTCTTGGGAGCACCAGACTATGGATTTGGGAGTTTATAAATGAGTATGCTATACAATGTCTTCTATATCTGATCTTGGAGTAAAAGAGAGGGAGGTTAACTGCTGAGTGTGTTCTCCAGATGTACAGGAGAATAGAATATTCCCATTTGGCTCTGAAGGCCATTTTTTTGTGCTCTCCCCATGGGATTCAAAGCACTATTGCCTCAACTATAAAAGTTTCCGATACCAGGGGCTGGCAGGTGGTGTAGTGATTAAGGGCACTGGACTCCCACACGGCTAATGACAGTTCAAGTCCCGGACCTGACAGCTTGCTTTCTCCCCCTGCCCCCCACCAGCCACTCTGCCCCTCTCTGGTCAAATTTAAATAAATAAATAAAGTGAAAGAAATAGTTCTGTAAAAATATTTATTTAATTTTATTTACTTATTCATTTATATAATCTGACTATATATATATATGTGTGTGTGTGTGTGTGTGTGTGTA